ATTTTTTATCTTCTCATATTAAAATTATCAAAAACAACATTAAAAAAATATTAATTTAATATTTTTCAAACCAAAAATACTTTCAAAAACATAAACAAAATTATTCTTATTCTTATTTTTTTGTAATTTGTATTGTAATTTTTTTCTTTTATTTTTTTAAAAAATGATGCATAATATTTAATTGTAACCATTAACTATTTTTTATTATATATAAACATCAATATCTTGATTCTATGTTATAAAAAACATTAATAAAACATGTACATTAATTATTTTGCATTAAAAAAATTATTCAACCTACAACAAAAACAAATTGAATAACACTTTATTTTTTATATTTATTAATACAAATAATTCTTTATATATTTAATTAAATAGCGAATTACTAGTCAAATAACCAGTTTCTAAACTAATCTTCGAGTCCGGTGGGAAGAATTTTCAATAGGATTTCTTTGTACCCTTTTGGCACTAAAATCCATAAGCACAAAGCACTTGTAAGTGTCACTTCATCACAATTAAGGGAAGAAATTATGGGTGTGATTAGGGTGACAACCTTGTTAATCGCGAGCCATTATTCTGCCATTGTCTTATTAGCCGCCTTATGATCTCCTACGTGTTTGAACAGTATTTAGTTTTTTAAAAAATTTTAACTATTTTTAAAAATTAATTTGATTTCTTATGTTAAAAATAAATTTTAAAAATAAAGAATTATTATTTTTATATATTTTCAAGTAAAAATCACTTTAATATGTGTTTAGTGTTATAATGATTTATAAAATAATTATTTTATTTATAATATTACCACATTAAAAATACTAAAAAATACATGTGGCAATAAAAACCAGACTGTAAGAGATGAACAATGCTTGATATTATTTCTTGCAATTATTTAAGATAAGGGAAGGGCATATGTTGGCACTTCGAAGGGCAAAATTCATTGAATATTTGGCCGTGGGATCCTTGCAATGGTAGTCAACCATATAAGAGGTGCACGGTAAGGAATAATAATAATAATAATAATGTGGCTATTTAATTTTATATTCTGCTGTTTATTCAGCCATGTTCTGATGCTTTTCACAAGGGTAGAAGTTCCGAGGCTTGTCCCATGCAAATCAGAGAACATGAACTTAAACTTCACGTTGGCAGTTTTGGATCCATTGATTCAAGTCATTCTGCGTATGTTGCAGCAGGCCTATCCTTACAATCTGAAGCAAGAACAAAAAAAACAAAGAGAGAAAGGGATCATTGCAGCTTATATGATGATACGAGCAATTGTATCCAAACCTTGGGACTCTAAATCAGGTTGAATGAATTGAATATCTTTAGCTGTCATGCAACATCATGATTGTTCCTTGCATAACTCTGAATTTGTTGATGTACTGATTTCTTTTATAGTTCTTGGATCCGCATTTCATTAGGGTTTGGATTATTAGATTGTTGAGTTAACTTAGGAGTTTTCGAGTCTATTACACTTATTATTTTTATTTAAAGCTATTTTATTTTAATTTTAAAAAAAAATCCCTTGATTTTGACTTGATTAAATTTAGAATATAGCATATAAACCTCTAAATCAATGTAAAAATAATAATTTAAAATGAAACTCCAAAAATGAAATCAGGTTGAATGAATTGATATACTAGTTTCTATAATTTTAACACTTGTGATTTGTTAGAGTTTGCATTATTGGATTGTTGAGTTAATTTACGGGTTCTCAAGTCTGTTTATATTTATTATTATTATTTAAAGACATTTTATTTCAATTTTTTTTATAAATCTCTTGATTTTGATCTCATTGAGTTCAAAATAGATTTGACTAGATTAACTAGATCACAAATGAAACTTTAAGTTAATATAGAAAAAAATAATTTGAAATTAAATTAGATTACGAGTCTCAACACATTATTGGAATGGCAGGTTAAAGAAATGAAAAGGGAATATTATTTTGTTTTTCTTTAATTTCTGAGTACCCAAACCAGCCGACAAGACCATAAACCTTGAACAACCAAATGCAGATAATCCAGATCACAGAATAATACATAAAAAGTATGTTAGTAACAACCACAAATCAGGGCATATCCCTAAAATTCAACACAAACTACATAGATCTGAGTTTTGGACCGTATACAGAGGAAGAAAAAGATATCCAAAAAGGAAGAGGACGGCGGTCCCTCAAGACCTGCGGCCTGAGCACGGTCGTCCACATGAAGATGATCAAGGAATAGATGAGTCTGTAATTGAAGTAAGGCCTACTCTCATGCGTTGTTCATTATTATTATTTCAAGCTAGAAGGCCCACATGTCCTCTGTTCTTCTTGTTTACCCTATCAAGGAATAGATGAGTCTGTAATTGAAGTCAGGCCTACTCTCATGCGTTGTTTATTATGATTATTTCAAGCTAGAAGGCCCACATGCCCTCTGTTCTTCTTGTTTACCCTTGCCCCTCTTCTGCCGGGTCCCTCGACTCCTGATCACCTGGCCCTCTTCCTCATGGCATGTTTCTTTCACTCCTTTAAACATGGATCATCTTTTTAATTCTACAGGCACCTCTTTGTTTGCATCCTGGGGGTTTTTGGTCTTTTGGGCTTAGGGCATTAGGCATTTATGGAGGATCTGTGTTGATTTTTCAAGTGAAGTTTTTACCTTTGCTGGTTCGAGAATGCAGGTAAGAGACAAGGGGTGCTCGTGAATTTTATATATTTAAGTTTTGTTTCTTGGCCACAGCATGTTTTCGAGCATTGTTATGTGAAAAAAATAGTGTGATTGATCAAAGAATCTGGTTTGTAAAAGACCAAACTAGTCTAATTATAGGTTAAAAACGTTCAATATCAACGTTTTAAAGCACAAGATTATTGCAATACGAAGAAAAGCTGACAGAAGAGACAAAACCCGCCATCTTTCACAAGAACAAGGCACTAACAGTGAACAAGTGATAAAAATATGGGATTAAAAAATTTGATTTTCATTAATTAAGAATAATAATGTGAACGCTAATATAATCGCTATTAAAAGTTTTTATATTTATTAATTTTAAAATTTATAAGATTAGTTGAAATATATATAAATTGAGTCAGATATCAATATTAATTAAAAAAATAAAAAATATTTAAGTTGATTAAAACCGGAAAAAATTATAAGAAAATATAAAAAAAGAAAAATAAATTAAGGAAGGCTGATTGTTCACATGGTAATGGGTACTAGGTTACTTGTTTACATCTTACAATTATGTCAAAGCCAAAAATTAATGATAAGCCACACGAAAAGGCAATAAAAGATATCCTAAATTAATATTTGTAACGTCAAAGGATTGGTCTAGTGATTAAAAAAGTTAACATACTTTTTTGTAATCACTGTCATTTAAATCTTAATTTACTAGAAACTCCAGTTAAGTTTTAATTCCGAAATGATGAATGGTTTGTTTTATATTGGATTATAGAAATAAACTTTGTTTTAATATTCCAAAGATGTCCTAAATATATATAAAAAAAAAACTAAAATGGAATGGAATGAGATTTTACTTCACCTTTCTCGTAAAATATCATTCATCTTAATAGTATTTTTTTTCTAATTTATTTTTTATTTTTATTTTTATTTTTTAACATTAATTTTATTTGAGAATGAGCTTCATAATTGTTTCTAGTAAGGTTGTTTCAATTTTATAAACTTAAACATGGGTTAAGCTAGTTAAGTTGAGTTTTTTTATTTTTTTTTGTGATTAATTTTTTTATCTCAGTTCCATTATTTAACATTAGATTGATTGAAAATTATATTTTATGATTTATCTTGATATATTTTTTATCAGGTTATACTTATCTCATAACTTGAGTCATGAATTTGGTAATTAACTTATGTTAAATCAAGCTAATTTTTGTATTTTTTAAATTAATTTTTCAATTTTAATTTCAACTACATCCTTCAACGTTAAATTTATTAAAATTAAACTTCATAATTTTTTTAAATTTTTTTATTGGGTTATTTCAGTTTTATATCTCGAGTCATGAATTTGAATGGTTAATTTAAGTTATTTTTTTATTGATTTTCTTTTCAAATTTATCCTTCAATATTAAATTTATTAGAAATTGAGTTTTATAATTTATTTTGATTTACTTGTTATATTATTATTATAGTCTCATGACATAACATTCAGATTGAGAGGTTAACCCAAATTGAACTAAATCAATCTAATATATTTTTATCTCAATATTTATAAAATAAATTTAATTTAAATATTTATTATAAATCAAACTATAATTTAACTGATTATTTAAATTGTTTTTAAGCTTGTAATACTGATTTGATTGCATTATATCATAATGATTACATAGATAAAGATTTGTTCGTTAATCAAACTAATAGCATATTCTTCTCTATCGACCAACAAAGGCTAACTATTTTTTTATTTAATTGACTAATGACGAACCCAATTCATTCCCATTTTTCCTAACCGATTATATTTAATGTTATCGTGAAACTGTTCTTATAAATACATTATTAAATATTCATTTAAAGATATGGGTTTTGATCACATTTGACCATCAAATTCAGAAATTCAAACGTTTAATTTATCTTTATTAAATTCTACGACAGGATATTTATTTCATATATTAAGGCATTCACTTAGTTTTTCTAATGGTTGAGATGTTGGTTTTTGGATTAATCTTTATATAGTAAAAATACAATTTTCCATAATTAATTCATAGATTTTCTACAGTCATATACTCTGAATTAAAACAAATTAAAGTCATCTATTTTCCCATGATAAATTACAGGACGACATTTAGATAAAAGGTGGACATCCATGTCTTGGCTTGCATAAGCTATGGGAAGGGAAATCATGTGACCATGAACAGCATCTGTCTTCATCTTCTACCAAAAGACACGTCAAGATTTTGGTTTCATTATCATAAAACAATTAAAATGTATGTATGATACATGTCAGTCTTGCTATTTCTTTCAAATCCAAGGGCTTTTTTGCCTCACGGCATGCATATAAGCTCGTGCTCTCTCCCTCCTTTGCACTACATGCCTCCTCCTCCTCCTCTTCTCTTTCTTTCCCTCGGACAAGAAATTGTAAAGGACTTGAAATGAGAGGAGCCGCCTTGTTGTTGTCGGTGCTGCTGTTTGCCACTAATTGTCACTTTGCCTTCTCTTTCATAGAAGGTAAGCTTCAGAGCTCGAAGACACTTGCATATGTCTTCATGATGTACATTGTTTTCACAACCTTAAACACAGTAGCTAGCTAGTAGCTACTACCCACCATGATGTTCCACCAAAAACCCACCTGGTTTCATTGTTTTGACCCTTGATAGGATCATCCAAAGCATTTTGGTCCTCATTAATATAGTTGGCAAAGTCTCTTGTGCACAAATCTCTAGGCAGGTCTCTCACAGCCATATTTTGCACCTTGTTTGCTATTTTCTAGTCCCTAGAGTAGTGATTAATCAGTACCAATTCATCTTTTTTCACCATTCTTGACCTTATAAATTGCTTAGCCACACACAGTCTGTTCCAGCAAAATTTAGAGGTTTCGATTCTTGCAGTGATGAAGATGTTCAAAAACAGAGTCGCCATTAAGTTCAATAGATCAAAATACTGGTTTTTTCTCAGTGGTTTGGTTCTGCTTCAAGTATATCTATGGCAGTTTTTGTTTTCACGGTACAGCTATATTTAAAAAAAAAAATCTATTCTTTTATGGCAGGTTTTTTTTTTTTTATATTATTTTTTTTAAAATCATTTTGAATTGAACCACTGTAGCTCATCTTTTGTGGAAAGCATAAAGGGCATTGCATTCCAGGCTGAGCCAGTGAGGCACGTGATCCTTAAATTGTATATAGCACCAGTCGTACCACCTTCCTATTTATAGCTTATAACACGTCACTCGTCCCTTTACCAAAATATTTTACACATTTTTTGCTCCTGTCCTTTTCTTACTTTCTAGCTTCCCCCACTCCCTTTTTTTTACTAAGATTTCACATATAATTTAGATATTATTCAATTGAACATGACCTAAGATGGTCATGAGAGAGACATGGAATCTTGTATTTACAAAATCATTATGATTTAATTATATAACATTACAAAATGAGTTGAATGCAAAGAATGTTTTTGTCGGATAGTATATAGCAGGGATGATAGTTGAAGCACGCTCCACTTGAGAAACTAGACCTTGGGATCGAGCCACCGTTTTCCACCACCATCATTGTACTGAAAAGAATTATCTTTTTGCATGTTTTCACATTTATTTTCTTAAATGAACATCATGGTCTCATGGTCTTCTAAGTTTTTTTTGTAGTAAGTTTTCTCAAGAAGTTGAATTTGTTCATCATAATGCAGGGCTAGTAGAGAATGGCAACTTCGAGAATAGCCCGAGGCAATCGGATATGAAAGGAACACAGATGATCGGACGCTATGCATTACCAAATTGGGAGATTTCAGGCTTCGTGGAGTACATCAAAGCAGGCCAGAAACAAGGGGACATGTTGCTAGTAGTGCCAGAAGGAGCCTATGCAGTAAGGCTTGGCAATGAGGCATCAATTAAGCAGAGACTGAATCTTACAAAGGGAATGTACTATTCCATCACATTTAGTGCAGCTAGAACTTGCGCTCAAGAGGAAACATTGAACATTTCGGTTTCTCCTGAATGGGGTGTGTTGCCAATGCAGACATTGTATAGTAGCAATGGATGGGACTCGTATGCTTGGGCATTTAAAGCCTTGATCAGTCCTGTTGAGTTTGTTATTCACAATCCCGGAGTTGAAGAAGATCCTGCTTGCGGTCCACTTATTGATTCAGTGGCAATTACATCCTTATATCCTCCTAGACTAACAAATAGTAAGTTCCTTGTAAATTTTCTATGCATCAGACTTATGGGTTGCTAGGCATCAAATCATCAAGAAGGATACAGAAATATAGGACAAGTTGTTGATGTCAAGTTAATGGGTCCTCATTCAATTTTGCCCCTCAATGCCACTGCAATGAGAGACCTACAGAACACTGTCTCAACTTGATATTTAGCCCTTAGTAAGTAGCAGGGCACTCAAGGACTATCTTCCCCGGTTTGCCCACAATATTTATGGACTGGCCTTTAAGTATAGAAATTTGGTACCACTTATTTTCTAGTCGTTTTCACCAGGGGACAAGTATAGGAAAGTAACAGGACTAGATTATCAAGAGGACAATGGTCCAAGTAGAGAAAAGGATTGGAGAATAGTATAGGTAATGTTTGCTTTGTATGACTGATAAGTAGTCTGCAGTGTTTGCTTTGTATGACTGATAAGTAGTCTTAAATTCAGTTCTAAAAATGTTAACCTGCAAGTAGTCTGCAAATTAGCTATAATTAACTCGGCTCAATGGATTTAAGACATTAAGATGCTTTGTAACATTCTGTCAATGAAAGAATCCTAGCGGTAAATAGCTATAATTAACTTGGCTCAGTGGATTTGAGACATTAAGATGCTTAACTTGCGGCCTGCAGATTGCAACTTGACCTGTGAAGAGCCCCGTATTTAATGACTACTTGATGCTCGGGTCCCATTGCAGTTGTTCCTTTCTGTTTGAACTTTGAATCGTTACTCAACATGGTTCTCAGTTATTGTGTCCTGCTATAAGCACCAAAATGCTGAGTTAATGCTAAACCACTTACGATTTTATGCTATATTTTGCAGAGAACATACTAAAAAACGGGGGATTCGAAGAAGGTCCTTATGTGTTTCCTAACACGACCTGGGGTGTCCTAATCCCACCCAACATTGAAGATAAGCACTCTACACTCCCTGGCTGGATGGTTGAATCCCTTAAAGCTGTTAAATACATAGATGTAGAACACTTTTCAGTGCCTCAAGGACGACGTGCCGTAGAACTTGTAGCAGGCAAAGAAAGCACCATTGCACAAGTAGCCCGTACCGTAATCGGCAAAACCTATACCCTCTCATTCGCAGTAGGAGATGCCAGCAATTCATGTGAAGGGTCAATGGTTGTCGAGGCGTTTGCCGGCAAGGACACACTCAAAGTTCCCTATGAGTCTAAGGGCAAAGGTGGATTTAAGCGTGCTGTGCTCAAGTTTGTTGCTGTTTCTACTAGAACAAGAATAATGTTCTATAGCACATTTTACACCATGAGGAGTGATGACTTCTCTTCTCTTTGTGGACCTGTTATTGATGATATCAAGCTGTTGAGTCTCCGTGGAACATGAATCATTAAAAGCTAATTAAGGTTATTGATAAGTCTTTATTAGGTTGGATGTATGAATTTCGTTGTCACGGTTATACTATGTATGAATATTTTTGCTATATAAGAGAGGCAGGCAGGCAAGGGGTTTTAAGGGTGAGTTTTTAGCATGATATATCAAGAAAAATGAGAGTATATATTTTACTAATATCAGGGTAGTTTATAGTAGTAGTGTGATTTTATGAGAGTGGTGTTCTGTATTATTTTTAGCAAAAATAAAATGAAGTTTTATAAGTATTCTTGATTTGAATGCTTGGTGAATGTTCATCTCCCAATGCTCTTTGACATTACAGGACTACAAATGCTTGAATCTTGAGCATTTGATGATAGTTTTTGAAAGATGAATCAGTATCATTCCAGGACGAACAGTTTTCTGCTCGGCAGAAACAAGACTTGCAAGCAGCTAATTTCCGGGAGAGGCCAAAGGCTCAGAAAATAAGAGTCACCACACATCCTGCTAGACGCCATCCCCAGTTGATCATCTCTCATGTCTAGTCCCATAGGCATTACGAGGAAGGAAACAGGAGAGAGAAGAGAAAGTGCCCTGCTTCAGATAACCACCTGTGCTAGCTAGGCAGCCAATCCACTCGCTGGCTTCTTTGTAAATTTGATAGAGATGCATGGTTACCACCCATTCTCTATCCTGGACCCAATCAATCTGCATATTGTTGATTGGAAGTCCATCAAATGGACTTCAAGAAGGTTTAATATTGTCGCACCCTCCCGCGCGCAGTGTTCGATAACGATTTTTTTTGTAATAATTTGCTTGATTGATTCTTTGAAGTCGCTACCTAGTATTATGGTCACTAAAAAATCTAATTGATCTTTCAGAGATTTTAAAGCAAGAAATTGGTTGCATAAAAAAAAAGTATTAGCATTCCTAGTACGTCCTACCTAAGGTAAGCTGCTTGGTGTTTAGTTTGTCTTATAATTGTTATGGTGTTGGTGTTTTTTAATCCCAACAGTTTTCTCGGCTTGATTCTAACTAAATTTATTAAAATAGAAATCCAAGAAGATTTAAAGTGTTTTACAAGCTTATTTTTCCTTTGGTATTTCAAGAGTTTACGACTCGTAAATCACGAGGAGAAACAAAATTTTAGAAATCTAGGGTGCTTTAAATGCCTATTTTTGCCTTAGTGTTTTATAATCTCACGGCTCGTAAACCATGAAGTAAAAAAATTTGAAATATCCTCGATTATAATCAAGGCTTCTTTCAAGGATGTGTGTGGATTTATTATTCCTAGAAAATTATTTTGGATATTTACCATTCTGGGTTTCTTTATCCAAATATTAATGGTAAATAATAACAAATTATTTCCAATAATATTTTGGATATTCATCCTTTAAGGATTTGTTTATCCAAACATTAATGGTGAATAATAGATGAATTCCCTCCAAAATAAGATTTTTATATTTTTTTGGAATATTGGCCAATACCCTTTGGAATTTTACAAACATGTTGTAAAATCCAGAAATACAAGAAAATAATTTTTTTTTGTTGAAGAAATCATGCAACACACAACAAAAAAAAACATTTTTTTGTATTCGGTCCAAATCACAAGCATCATAATTAAAGGCAAACATTACAATAAAAAGTAGCAAGCCATCATATATATTGTAAGATTTACAAAAAAAAAAAAATCTTAAAACAACTCATAAAAAAAACCATTCAAAAGCCAACTAACTTAAAATCCTATAACTGGAAAATGGAATACGTCTGTATACGCAAAGGGAAGCCAAGGTTCTGACACCAAAGTTTGAGCTAAAAAAAATGATGCAGTGCAGCCATACTAATCTCATACGAAAGGAGAAGAACCTAGGCAGCATGCTCTATTCCCCGTATGTTAAAGACTAAGACTAAAGAAATAAATGGCAGCTACCTCGTTTTAAAGAAAACAGAAACAAGTTCTTGAAAAGAACGAACAGCAAACTCTAAATATACATACGGCAATGAAGAAAAAAAAAACTGAGGCTCATACCTGCTGATATGGCATGTTTTAAATGTAAAAGATGACGTGCAAGCCGATGGACAAAGCTTGTGCCTTCTCACCTCAAGCATCCACTAGGCAGTAGCCTTCTGATTCTTTCTCTTCACTCTTCCAGGACTGCCACCTCCAAGTGGACTTTTGAGAGAAAAATCAATGTGTTTCTGGGAGCCAAACCTGTTCATCCTATGGAGAAGGTCTTCACCTTCGAAGATTCACCGTTGGTTCTTCTCATCCAGGGTGAGAAACATTCTTGCAGCATTACTGATGCGGCTTAGGGACGCCGAGTCCTCAAAAGAGCAGAGTGAGCAGAGACTAACAAGGGTAAAAGGTCTATGCTAATGAGAGGGAGAGGGAACAGTGTGCGTCTCTGTTTTATTTTAAAATCAGGGGGTGGCTGCTTCGTTTTTAAAAAGATGAGAGGGGGGAAGCAGGGGCGGAGCTGGGTTCATTTTACAGGGGAGGTCAAAATTAATATAATAATGTATATATTATTAAAAAATTTATTTATTTAAATTAAAAATATTAAATAATAGAAAATATTAAAAAAAATTGCAGGAGCCCGGGCCCCTGCTTGCCACCCCCTGGCTTCGCCCGGGGGGGAAGAGCTACAACTTCTTTGATAGAAAGGATAGGTTTAGGTTTTTCTTTGTGTTTTCCCTATTTTCTGAAAAATTGCCCCCCCTTTGAGTATGTTTCTCCCCTCATTTAGGTCAGCAGTCGAGGCTTCTATATAGCATATATATGGCTTTATTTAGGAAACAAATATTACATTAACTCTAGGGTGTAATATTGGGTGAGCAGAAATAGAGAAATAGAAAACCAGAATATTTGATTCTGATTTTGTGATCAGTAGTGATTTCTTTCCTAGTTACAGGATGGTGCGGCTCTTTTATTTCCTTCCATAGAGTCAACTGCTTTCTTTGAAATGAGACAATAAAAAACATGGTCTGCTGCTCCAAAAATCAGGCATGATGAGAAAGGAAAACAACAGATAAAAAAGGAAAGAAATCAGATGGAGAGTGCAGCTGTAAAGTCTTATTTTCCTTATTCGGTGTGATAAAAATCCTGTCATTTATGATGATCCAACACCACTCTACAGCTTTCAATATCCTTCTTCAATTCTATCCCTCATTTTAACACTTTTCGATTCAGTCCTTGGTCCAAAAAAAATCCTTCAAATCAGTCCGGCGAACTTGGGCAATATCCTTCTCGCGGCAGAATTCTCTACCTTCACGTTAGATATTCAAACGGGAACATCTTGAGCCTCTAATATTGAAATCAAGTGATTCAAAAGCTCAAATTCATCTACACGTCCAGGACTAAAACTTTGATGAAGGAGTCGAAGTGAGATAAAATCTTTTTACAGAACAGAATCTAGCAGTGATTCGGTTGGTTGAAAGGGATTTCTGGATCTAACTCAAAAACTGACGAATGCCGAAAATCCTGATATGACTGAAAGTATGAACTAAGAACAAAAATCACAAAAACTAGGCCAAAAATAGAATTTTTTTTTTAGTGCAGACTCGGGTCAATATCCTTCTCGCGGCAAAAATCTTTGCCTTCACATTAGATATTCAAACGGGAACATCTTGAGCCTCTGATATCGAAATCAAGTGATTCAAAAGCTCAAATTCATCTACTCATCGAGGACTACAACTTTGATGAAGGAATCAAAGTGAAATAAAAAAAAAATTACAGAACAGAATCTAGCAGTGATTTGGTTGGTCGAAAGGGATGTCCGGGTCTAACTCAAAAACTGATGAATGCTAAAAATCCTGATATGACTGAGAGTATGAACTAAGAATAAAAATCACAAAAACTAGGCCAAAAATAGAATTTTTTTAGTGCAGAATCAGGTCAATATCCTTCTCGCGGCAGAATTCTCTACCTTCATGTTAGATATTCAAACGGGAACATCTTGAGCCTCTGATATCAAAATCAAGTGATTCAAAAGCTCAAATTCATCTACATATCTAGGACTATAACTTTGATAAATAAATCGAAGTGAAATAAAATCTTTTTACAGAACAGAATCTGATAGTAATCTAGTTGGTCAAAAAGGTTCTTGATCTGACAATGCTAAACATCCAAATCTGACTGAGAATTTGCTTTAAGAACAGTGATCCCTAGGACCTAATAAAGGTATAGGTCAATTTCTCAACATGTCATGAGTGATAGAATATAGTTAAGATGGTCAACTATCATACGAAACCAAGTCAGAATCAGAGTCTAAGTTGGAACAAAAAAAAATTATGACAACAACAAAAACATTTTTTTTTAATGCAAATTCTGAGGGATTTATCCAATTTTAAAGATTAGATAAAGAAGGAATGAATTTATCATTATGAAAACTCTTGATCAACCTAAGAAAATAAAGGGGTAGGATAAAAAAAAGCAAAAAACAGCTCAAACAAAGTTTCAAAAAAAAATATTTCTCTCTGCTTTTGTTAATATTTTGGTGAACATGAGCTAAACTTCTACACTTAGTTCAAAAGAGATATGCACCATCTCCAACACGTGGGGTATAAAATTGAGTAACAACAAATATGAGTTGCTTACTGGAAATAGATTGCACTAATTGTTTGGTGGCTCTATGTTTTGCCGCTGATATAACTAATTTTTTTAAAATATAAAAAGAATATTAAAAGAGATAAGATTTTTTATTTTTTACAATGTTATAAAACCTAGTCAAGAAGGTAAATATTAAAACAATTTGACTTTTTATTTAATTTGAGTTTTATTTAAATTATATGGAAGCTAATCTGATTTAAATTAATTGATTTTATAGAATCAAATATAATTTTAATGACGGGTAAAAACACAACTTAACTTAAAAAAAACTTTAGACGACAACTTTTTAAAAAATAAATATTGAGATAAAAACAAATTGAAGCGACCTTGATCCCCACACAACTCAATTCATGAACTCTATTGAATTTAATAATTGTTTTATAAATATTTTTATTTAATTATATAATAAAAATAGATATAAAATTAAGCATCAATATAAAAATAAATATTTATTTGAGAACGTGATAATCTTATAAAAAGCAAACAAAAATAAATCATGTAGTCTATTTCCCAACTAATTTAATATTAAAAAATATATATA